TAATGTAGAAGAAGAAGGTCCTTAAAAGTCTTGAAAATACTTTTTTTTTAAACACATGTCATCAAAATTGATGATTAATGTTTGTTTCTTCCCCTCAAACAACTTTATTTTTATTTTTTTACTCTAGGTTAAAACAAATTACTGGTATCTTTATAGAAGTAAATATGCAAACTCTTCATCATTAAATTTTCACCCAAATATTTGTCCTTTTATTGGGAATTTTTATTTTTACAATAAAAAACAAAAATCATTTATTATAATTGATAAATAATAGCACCATATAAAAATATGTTTAAGATCAATAATGCCATTTCAATTTCCAACTTACTTATGGAAATACACAAAGTCTTATATGTGGTTGGCTAGACGGTGGTGCCATCCATCATGAGAGTTAGTACGTGGAGACTAGTGATTGCATCAATATCAAAAGTCAATAAAAACTCTTAAATAAATCAAGTGGTTCACATTAATTTATTGTGGACCAAAAGTAATATAGACACTATGGTTGTCTTTATTAATAAAAAAAAGATCACTATGCTAAAATAAAGGTTTTTATATTAAAAAATACTTTCTCTGTTTTTTTATTTTTTTATTTTTTTTCCTGTAGTTGCAATACTTTCTCTTTTCACGCTTGCTGATGCGTGTTTTGAATCGTCAATATTTTTTATTATCACTATGTGAAAATTATAAGTTTTAGATATTAAAATTGTACAAATCGAGACGAATCTAACAAGATCCTAAATGACTATATTTTTACTTATGTATAAATCGTCAAAGCTAGTCAAAGTGAAACACATGAATAGTGTAAAAGTCAAACTATTGCAACTATATAAAAACAGAGGAAGTAAAAATTATTATGTTATTATAAAGGTCTAAAGAAGTTCATTTTTTTGATGAAATTTTTACGGCTATTTCACCAAATGCCACTGAGCAATTTAAAAATTCACCAAATGCCATCGGACTTTTCAGAATTCACCAAATGCCACCTAGTTTTAAAAAAATTCACCAGGTGCCATTAATGACCAACGACCGTTAACTTCGTTAGTAATTAGGGGTTAATCATGACACGTGTCATGATATAATTGGACCATTTATCTTAATTTATTAAAATAAAAAAAAACAAAAAATTAAAAAAAAACAAAAAATTAAAAAAAAAAACCCCAAAATTTTCCCAGCCACCGCCAAACCCTAGCCCCTCCCCTCATCTCGTCGGAAAACGGTCGGCCACCACTTTAACCACCAACAATCGGCCGGTCGACCCTTAAGCTCCCCACCTGACCCACCCCGACCCCCTAAACCACCCACGCAGCTCGTCCCGACCCCAAAAACCACCCACACATCCGCCCCGACCCCAAAATACCACCGGTAAAAAGCCCCTCATCCCTTTCCCCACCCTCGAAATCGGTCGTTTCGACGGTGGGAGAAGGGAGGAGGGGCTTTTTACTGGTGGTTTTTAGGGTCGGGGCGGCTGCGTGGGTGGTTTTTGGGGTGGGCGATGCTCATGTTTGCGGTTTTATGGGGTCGGGGCAGTTTGTGAGGAAGGTTTTGGGGTCGGCGGAGGGTCAGGTGGGGAGCTAAAGGGTCGACCGACCGATTATTGGTGGTTAAGGTGGTGACCGGTCGTTTTCCGGCGAGATGAGGGGAGGGGCTAGGGTTTGGCGGTGGTGGAGGTGGCTGGGAAAATTTTGGGGTTTTTTTTTTGTATTTTTTTTAACTTTTTTTTTTAATTTTATGAATTAAGATAAATGGTCCAATTATATCATGACACGTGTCATGATTAACCCCTAATTACTAACGGAGTCAACGGTTGTTGGTCATTAATGACACCGGGTGAATTTTTTAAAAATTGGGTGACATTTGGTGAATTCTGAAAAGTCCGATGGCATTTGGTGAATTTTTAAATTGCTCAGTGGCATTTGATGAAATAGTCGAAATTTTTAATATACTAAACAATATGAATATTAAAGGTTACTATGTTAAATTAAAGGTCACTATGTTTAACATAATATAACATGTTAGGTTCACAATAATTTTAAAATTAGGCCGCACAAGTTTTAATTAAAGTTAATATAATAAAATTAAGATTACTATGTTAAAAGTAGGGTTACTATATATAATAAAACGTCAATGGTGCGAGTATGGACCTCACGTTCTTACAAGTTATTCTACCTTAAAGGGTTGAATAAGGTAGGTGGAAAGAAGTTTTCATCTTTGTAAAGTTTATATCTTTTCCTTTTTCAATTCATTCCCTTTTAACTTTTTCCGATTGTTTGCATATTACATTCCCTTTTTAATATCATTTTCAGATTGTTTGCACATTTCATGTGCTTTTTATTATTTTTATAATAGGTTTTTTACATGTGTCTTTTCTAAAGGTAGTTATTTTCATTTTAAAAAAAATAAAATAAAAAATACTACACTGAAGTTTGTATATTCGACGAGGTTCATCAAACTCTTTGATAATTAATATCTTTAATTTTAGTTGAAAATTATTAAAAAAAATTAATTTATAAAAAGTAAACATTGTGCAAACAATGTACTTCCTCTATTTTTTTTTTGGAAGTGTCTCATTATGATAAATTTAAAATTTTAGACAAAAGTGTAATTAATTTCAAGCTAGTGTAGGTGTATATTTTCAAACTGAAGTTCCAATATTACAAAATAAAGGAACATGCACCTACTTAATTTTTTTATTCATTGATACAAAAAAAAAAATAAAGAACTTGTAACCCTTTCCATTTTTATTAACAGTGTAAATTTTTTTTATATATTCTGTAATAAATTTAAATTATTTACTTAATTTTTAAATTCTTTAATTTTAATTAATTAAGACTTACTTTTTACTAATTCATCTATGCATTTAGTTTTTGAGGCTACTGATCAAATATTTTTAATTTTTTTTAATTGATGTTGCTCACAAATTCTTATGTGTAGTTGGTGTGGCAAGCTATCATGGGAGATACTTCATTATTAGTGTTATAGCAGGGATTACTCGTTCAATGTTACAGGGTTACTTCGTTATCAGTGTTATAATGGCTACTTTATCAGTGTTAAATTATATGGATTACTCGGTCAGTGTTACAGAGGAAAATCAATAAGTGTTATGTGAGTTACTTTGTTATTTTATAAGTGGTCAAAGTGCTCATTTTTGCTAAATTGAGATAATTTTAACTTATTTCACCAAAAAAAAGTTTTATAATTTTAGCTTAACTAATCTGAAATTAGTACTCCAATATTTTAATATGGAAGCAAGTTTTATATAGAGCTAGTATAGTTAACACTATAAGTACATCCAAATACTGTCTTTTAATATAAAAAAACTAGTGTGTGGCCCAGGCGATGTCTGAGGTTCTAGTTTTTAGTTCTTTAATTTGATAACTATATATGTTCTGTTGTTTGTATAGTTAGTGTGTGGTTCGGGTGTTTTATATATATATATATATATATATATATATATACTCATATGTATTTATTTTCTAATCTTGTGATATATAAATAAAAAATATAACCTCTAATTTACTTAATATGTTAAAGGAATATATAATGTTAATTATGTAAAATTTAAGACATTAATCAAAGTTGAATGAGATGGTAAATGTATGACCTTTGTATATTTTGGAAGTTACAGGTTCAATTCTCGCCCAAAACATAGTTTAATTAAATGAAATGACAAGCTTATATGGCGCGCCATGTGGCACCATTCCTTTGAAAGGTACGCCTTTTCATATATAACTATAGATAGAGATATATACAATTTAGACACTTACACAGTTACACCGTAATAAATTAATAACCGTATAATGGATGACCCATATATAACTTATCATTTGCTCTCATCAAGCTTGCTAGTTGTAAACATGTAATTGATTAGGGATTTGCCTTATAACCTTGAGGTCATAAAGTTGAATCTTTCTAATAGCATTACTTGAGGAAGATGCAGATCTCTTATAGTATTTCTCCCGCAATTTCAAGTGTCTGACCTCTAAGTATAGAACCAAAAAAATTATGAGGGTAGAGGTCAGATCATGATCATTCTCCTTAGTCCTTACCATAAAAAAAAATAAAAAAAAACAAAGAAAAAAAAACAATTGTCAATTGTAGACAGTGGCGGAATCCGGATTTTAATAATGGTAGATCAAGATTAATAAATGTTGAGTAAGGGATTAGAACCCATAACCTTTTGATAAATAAGGTAATGTGGTAAATAAGGCAATGATCCAACCACTAAGCTGGTAATAAGTTAAAATACTATTTCGTATAATACTCTCTTTGTATTCTATTTAAATAAATATTTACAAAGGAAAATTTGCAAATTGCAGCCATTTAAATTTCGTATTTTGCAAATTGCAGCCATTTAAAAATAAAATTGCAAATTGCAGCCCAAAAGTTCATATAAATTGTAAATTGCAGCCCGATTTAACTTTTTCATCGGTTTACAAGTTGAAAAATCTTTGATTAAGGTTTTAGGGGCCATTTTAGACCTTCGGGATCCGAATTGAGCTCGGAATTAGCAAAAAAATAACGCAAGTATCTCGTTTTGTGTAACAAAAATGTATCGATTTGTGGAAAACTGTAAATATGAGACACTTACGTTATTTTTTTGCTAATTCCGAGCTCAATTCGGGTCCCTAAGGGCTAAAATGACCCCTAAAACCTTAACTGAAATTTTTTCTCATGTAAACCGATGAAAAAACTGAATCAGGCTGCAATTTACAATTTAAACGAACTTTTGGACTGCAATTTGCAAAAAAAAAAATTTAAATGGCTGCAATTTACAAAATACGAACTTTAAATGACTGCAATTTGCAAATTTTCCATTTACAAACTTTATAAATTTATTACGACACGTAGTGGCTCTGCCACTAGACATAGACATAATGATTATTTAAATGTACGACAAATCTATAAGATTCACATGCACATAAAAGCATACAATTAAATTTATTTATTAACAAGAGATAGTACTTATTAAATATCTAATACAAAATGAAGGACGTGTGTATAAATAAAGCTAATAACAAGAGCTTGAACACAGCCAATTAATCACTCTATTATTATCAATAATCATGGAGAAGAGCTATTCACTAGGGAAAGCTCTACTAATTGTCACAACCATATTATTTTCTTCTTATTTTTCAAAATCTTTGGCTAAAAACCATGCTCATCATGGTGTGCAACCATTATCCAAGATTGATATTCTAAGTACAACTCTAGCTCTTCATAAGAAAGCTTCCATCAAAGTTTCTCCTTCTTTGCTAGGTTTGAAGGTATCATACATCAATCTTCTCTATATTCATGCTTTTCAAATTTTCAGCTAATAATCCATTATATATGTAAGTCCTTATATTCTTTGCACTGATCTTTATGTGCAGAATGTAATACTCTTACGTCCTAAACAAAATAATAAGGCGCGATCACTTTCATCAGATTATATTATACTTCATCCATCCTAAAATTCTAGTTATACTCACTTTTGCATAAAATTTAAGGTGATAACTTGATAAGTAGATTAATGATTTTATATGGTATCTTATTAAAAAAAAGGGTAATGCTATACATAGCCTTTAGGGCTATATATAAGCATTGAATTTACTCTTGGAAAATGTATAAAGTTAGGAATCCATGAAAAAAACACGCGCAAATCGGTGTAATTAGTGTGTTTTTGTCATGATTTTCTAAATTTAAACAATTTTCAAGAGTAAATTAAATGCTTATATGTAGCCCTTAGGGCTATGTATAACATTTTCCAAAAAAAAATAGAGATTTTATTTATTACAGTATTTTTTTTTTCACAAAAGAGATTTGATAAGAGTAATTGGAGGGAGTATATTCATAATTAAATGAGAGAGTTATTATTAAAAAAAAGAAAGGGGTTATTACAATATTGGTGGGGCCATTTCTACCGGAATCGAAGGATAACAAACCAAGTACTGTAATTTTTTGTACATAATTGTTGGATACTTGAACTAATGTATAGATTTTTTATATTAATTTTTGGTGCAAACTTTGATGCAATACTCCTTATTTGGTAAAAACTTTTATTTATAAATACAACTTCAAATTTAATTAAACCGAGTATAATTGATATTGAATAATTATTGATACTTAAATATTATTAATGCGTCGTATAATAATTAAGTGTTTCCAATTGGTTGCAGAATGAGGATATTGAATGGGTAACTGTGAAGCTCCGATCACCCAATCCGTCTTCAGATGATTGGATTGGAGTTTTTTCCCCGGCTAAGTTCAAGTATACTATAATTCTTTCTTCCCTTTAACAATGCTTTATAATATTACTTGTTTTTGTTTACATAAAACCGTTTTAATATTATGCAAACTTTTCTCACTAAATTAAGTTCAAACTTGATGATTTGTAATTTTTGTACTTAAGTTTATTATTTTCAGAGCTTAGATAGTTAAATTTTGGACTATTGAGGGAACACCTAACATATAATCTTGTTTGGACCATGTTATTTAATTTGAAAGCAAATATAAAATTAAATAAGTTGAACTAAACATAAGTTCCCGTCAAAAAAAAAAAAAAAAAAAAAAAAAAAAGTGGAAATAAATTAGAGAAACTATAATGGGGTAAAGAGATTTTGGTGATTAAAAGTCATTATAAGACGTATTCTATTACGGATCTAGAAAGAAATTATGTTTTTTATTTATAACGGAGGAAATATACTACAGAGTATTTATGTATTTTACAAAAATTTGTTTTAAATTTATAATTGTTGTAACATGAAACATATAAACTACATACTCTTTGAGATCAATTATTTTATTGAATTTGAGAAGTTTTAATTAACATGTATTGAAATGTCAAAAGCATTCTCATCTTTTTGATTTAATGATTATTTTTATTTTTAAACATGAGCAGTGCATCAGCAAATTGTGAGGAAGTTGGTAACTCAAGAGTTCTAAAACCTTTTATTTGCACTGCACCCATTAAGGTAAATAAAATATATCAAATGAAATTTTAGTTCATTAAACATTATCAAGTTTAGATTATAACTTAATCTTTTTGTTATTATTGAATTTCAGTACCAGTATGCAAATCACTCGAATTCAGATTATACAAATTCTGGAACAACCACTTTGAAGTTTCTATTGATCAATCAACGAACTGATTTTTCCTTTGCGTTATTTTCTGGTGGATTGTCTAGTGTAAGTTTCTCAATTTTAAATGATAATATGATATAGTTACATTATTGCTACTATGTGTTTATATTGATGTTATGTGTTCAATGTTGTAGCCGAAGCTAGTTGCAGTATCGAACACCATCTCATTTGCAAATCCTAAAGCCCCTGTCTATCCACGACTTGCTCTCGGAGAAACTTGGGATGTGGTATGTTTATACTTCAATGTTACATTCGTGTTATATTCGTATCATCATTTACTTAAACAATCAATCGGGTCAGTGTACTATTCTTAAAAAAAAAAATGACTATTATTCAGATATTGTAATATAGTAAGTGTGTCGTGTGACAATAACTCAATAAGTGCTGATGTATAAAATAGTATTTGTATTTTGTGATTTCATTAATTTTATCAGAGAGACTTTAACATGAATTAGCAGAATCTTAAAATTTTTGAAAGCTAATGTTCTGTAAAATTCATTTTCCTATAGTTTTTGGTACGAAATAATGTACTAAACCATTACTAGAGTGGAAGATTTAACTATCATTTCTGTAATCATGCAGATGACAGTAACATGGACAAGCGGCTATGACATAGATGAAGCAATTCCTTTTGTTGAGTGGGGTATGCCTGGTGCTCACACTACGCGATCACCAGCAGGAACTCTGACATTTACTCGTAACCAAATGTGTGGTATGGTTCTTCTTCACTTAATCACTTATAATTCAGTATATCTTTGTATTCATTTACCTAGAAAGTGCAAACATTTCAAAATCTCTTTCATGAAGTGCATGCTTAATCAATATTGTTAAATTTCACGAAATAAGTGTATAAGAAGTGTCTTTGGCTATCATGTAGCTGCACCTGCAAGAACTGTTGGTTGGCGTGATCCTGGATTCATTCACACTAGCTTCTTGAAAGATCTGTGGCCCAACATCAAGTATGCAAACATTGGTTTAGTATACACTACTATCACGATTAATGATTAATTATATGATCATTATAACAACTTTAATCCTTAAATATGTCATTGATTTTATGTTTTCCAGGTATACATATAGGTTGGGTCATCTCTTAACTAATGGTACATATGTATGGAGCAAGAAGTATCAGTTCAAGTCATCTCCATATCCCGGACAAAGCTCCTTGCAACGTGTTGTTATTTTTGGTGACATGGGGAAGGTATTACATGTATACAATGTATAAAAAGTTGGTTAAATGTTTTGAATCTACCCGTCAGAACAATACTATAAGCAACAAATAGATTTGCAGAGTGCAATGCCTGAAATCAATTTTTGCTTCTTTTAGGCTGAACGAGATGGATCAAATGAGTATGCAGATTACCAACCAGGATCATTAAACACCACAGACCAGCTAGTTAATGATATTGACAACATTGATGCCGTCTTTTTAATAGGGGATATGCCATATGCCAACGGATACATCTCTCAGTGGGATCAATACACTGCACAAGTAGAGCCAATAGCATCAGTTGTACCCTTTATGGTGGCAAGGTTTAACCTACTCTTAAAAGCAGATTTGCTATCTGCTTTTTAGTAATAATATTATTAGTGTTCTGTAAAGTTTTAGAAATATCTATAGCATATTAGTATACTAACAAATAGCTTTTTTCATCAGTGGTAATCATGAGCGCGATTCACCAGATTCAGGATCATTTTACCAAACTGATGACTCAGGAGGTGAATGCGGTGTTCCTGCAGAAACAGAGTTTTATGTTCCTGCTAAAAATAGAGCTAAGTTTTGGTAAGTACAGACGGCGCAATTTCATGGTGGCCTGGTGTTTGTTTGTTTCCTGTAATCTCTTGTAAAAGAACACTTACTCACCAACTATGCATATACATATATACAGGTACTCAGCAGATTACGGAATGTTCCATTTCTGCATAGCAGATACAGAACATGATTGGAGGGAAGGCACTGAACAATACAAATTCCTGGAAGAATGCCTAGCATCAGCAAATAGGCACAAACAACCTTGGCTTATATTTGCGGGCCATAGACCCCTAGGGTACTCTTCGAACTCATGGTACGGCCTGGAGGGATCCTTCGAAGAGCCAATGGGTAGAAGTGACCTTCAAAAGTTATGGCAGAAGTACAAAGTTGATATGGCATTCTGGGGACATGTCCATAACTATGAAAGGGTTTGCCCTATTTATCAGGTATCCATAATTTTGTTACTTCGCAAAGTATTACCACCTAAAACTGGCCTTTATAATGTCATCTGATTTATTGTATGTAGTTATTTTTGTTTACTGATTAGAACAATGATGGGTTCATGCAGAACCAATGTGTGAACAACGAGAAATCTCACTATTCAGGAGTTGTAAACGGAACAATCCATGTTGTAGCCGGAGGAGGAGGAAGTCATTTGTCGAAATTTAGTACATTAAAGACAGTGTGGAGTATATACCAAGACTATGATTATGGGTTTGTGAAGCTCACAGCGTATAACCACTCGTCTTTGCTGTTCGAATACAAGAAGAGTAGTGATGGCAAAGTCTATGATTCTTTTACCATCTCTAGAGATTACAAAGATGTTTTAGCTTGTGTTCATGATGGTTGTGAACCTTACACTTTAGCAACCTAGGAGAGATTTAATTAAGGAAAATGTTTGTACCTTGAAAAAGGATGCAAAGGTCAATAGCCGCCTCATTCAATTTGTAAAATGGGAAAAAGGAAAATGAAATAATGAATATTCAATTGGATTGATGAAATGGGAAGAGAGCCAATTAGCCCAAAACTCTGATAGTAGTTGTAACACCCTAGAAATTTTTTTCCTTCAAAGTACCTATTTTGCTCTTTTAAAAGATCAAAATAGGAAAATCTAAGACATTACCACCACCGTGAAAACGGCTAAGACAACTGTCAAATACACACAACGGAAGACTATCTTAAAAAACATTCAAAACAATTCAACTTTAAAAGTCAACCAAATGAAAGTAAAGTCAAACTAAAGTAAAACGAAGTCAACCTACAACTTGGAACCATTGTAGGCCCTTATTAAACCAAACTGTTAGTTGAGACGAACGCTACAAGAGGGGGGGTGAATTGTATGTGAGTTCCTAATGGCTACTTGTTGAAGCATAAAGGTTTTGATGATGAGGAACTTAAACTAAAGCAAACTCAACTAATAAAGGTTTTCAAGTGTGTGATTAGTTTAGGTGAAGTTGATTTTGGTGATGGAAGAAGTAACTGGAACTAAGAAGACATGACGAGATCTTTATTGAAGAGTTAAACAAATCAGAAGAAGAGTTCTCTAACAAGAACTAAGTTCCTTAACAGGAACGTTCCCTAACAGAAATGTTCCCTAAAAGAAACTTGAAGACAACAAGCTTAAGTTCTTTGGTGGAACTTAATAAGCTTGGAGCCCAAGTAACCTACCTGATCAAAAGCGCGGCGCAACAATAATATTTAGTTAAGGTTTTTATCTTATAAATTATTGTTAATATGTTAAGTAGGTTAATGCACGAAATTTATTAGAAGCATGACAAGTTTGTTTGGTAAATAAAATAATATGAAAAATTATAAAAGATAGATTTTAGGAAAAGATTATCTAAAAAGATTATTTTCTTTAAATCAGTTTGTTAAAAAGATAAACAAATACCTTTTTAATCTTATTTTCTGGAAAAGGTTTTATTCCACTTGATTTACATAAAACCGTGTTTAAGGATAAGTTAAGTTAACTTATTTATCTTTTAGAAAACCTACTTTCTATACGAGTAATACTTGTATCAATAGTAGAGAGCAAAATGGTTTTAGGTTTTTGTGAGTTTATGCGTGGAGAAATCACAGTGCTATGATTGAGGAAGTTTACCAAGCTTCTAACTTGTCACATTAGTTTCGGATTTCGTGCATTGCTTACCTATCATACTAGGTGTCATACATTTGTATTGGTTGGGTTATTTGGTTGAGTTTGTAGTTTGCTTTTTATACAGTTTTGTGTTGGCTTCTAGGTGAAGCTGCGAGTTTTGTACTTAGGTGGTACGAGTAGTTGTAATTTGGCAGTACGTGTAGTACTTTGGTGGTACGAGTGAATCTAAGTGTGGTACTTAGATTGGGTATGATAGGGTCCTATAAAGTAGCAAGTCTAATGAGGAACTTGTGAAATAAAGGTTTGTGTCTAATAGGTTGTAACTTGGTGTTTGCCCTATTATAGTGAAGTTTGTGTGTTTGAAATCCCTAAGGTAAGGTCGAGGTTTTACTTCCAGTTGGGCCCTGGAAGGTTTCTTTGTAAAATCTGTGTGTTCTTGCAAGTTCCTATATGCATTGTTTTATTATTCCACAAAAGTAGTCAATAGGAACTCAATACAATTCACCCCTCCTCTTGTATTAATCATCTAAACTAACAATTGGTATCAGAGCCTGGTTCTCACGTGTAAGCAGATAACTTTGTTGAGTAAGTTCCTAGAGAGATGAATTACAAGGAGAAACTTGAAGAAGGGTATTCCACCCAACGTCCACCCATGTTCAATGGTAAGTTTTACACCTACTGGAAGAACATGATGGAGATATATATCAAGGCTGAAAATTACCAGGTTTGGCGTGTCATTGAAACTGGTGATTTTGAAATAACTGCAACCAATGACAAGAAAGAGGTAGTTCCTAAACCTATTTCTGATTATTATAAAGAAGATTATCAGAAACTTGAATTAAATGCTTTAGCTATAAAATATTTGCACTGTGGACTTGGACCTCATGAACATAATCGTATCATGGGATGCAAGTCTGCTAAGCAAATTTGGGATCTACTAGAGATAACTCATGAAGGTACTAATGAGGTAAAACGTTCTAATATTGATCTATTGATGTCTAGATATGAAAGGTTTGAAATGCAATCAAAGGAATCTATAGAGGAAATGTTTACTAGGTTCAATGATATTATTAATAAATTGAATTCCCTTGGAAGACACATTCCTATTGATGAACAGGCTAGAAAGATCTTAAGGAGTCTACCACAAGATGAACGATGGAGATCCAAGGTTACTGCCATGCAAGAAGCCAAGGAATTCACGAAGTTTAACATGGAACAACTAGCTGGATCATTGATGACTCATGAACTACACCTGAGTTCCAACTCTGAAAGTTCCAAGAACAAGAGTCTTGCTCTTAAGGCTCAAGACTCAGAGGAATCGGAAGCTGATGAGGAAGAAATGGAAATGCTAGTTAGAAAGTTCAAAAGGATGATGAACTACAAGAAGTTTGATAGGAACAAGAAGTATGCAAGTTCCAGAAACACAACTTGTTTCAAGTGTGGGTCTAAAGATCACTTCATTAAAGATTGTCCATTACCAGATGGTGAGAAAGGAAAGACAAAGGGCAAGGAGAAATCCAAAAAGTCAAGAGTCTATAAACCTTACTTCACCAAGGACAATGTGAAGAAAGCCATGTTAGCTGCTTGGGGAGATTCAGATTCAGAGGAAGAGGAAGATCAACTATTAGAGGAAACTGCCCATCTATGCTTGATGGCAAAAATTGATGAAAAGGCCAAACTGAAGGAGCTAGAAACTGAGGTATGGTTTCTTCAAAAAGAACTTAGTCATTTCTCTAAAGAAAACCTAATATTTGCTGTTTTAGAAATTCAAGAAGAATTGAAAGAATTGCATAAAGCTAAACAGCAAAGTGATGAAGCTTTGGTTACTTTTAAAGAAAACAGTGAGGGGGTAGATAATATGAAATTTGATATTCAATATAGATTCTTTAGTTTGTTTGATGATAATAATTATTTGAAATAAACTATAGATAGGTTGAAACATGATAACATAATGTTGAATGTGGAACTATCCTTGATGAAACTCTGTCTTGATGCTCCTGATTCTGAAGTTCCTCCACTTGCTCAATATCCGAATTTTGAAAAACTAAAATATGATTTGGAAGATATAAAAGCGGATAAGGCAAGACTTGAGGGGGAACTTGAGAAAGCCAGGAAAGGCAAACAACCTATAGAATACAGAGTTCCAGATTGGATCACCAAAGCTCAAACCAAAAGAATAGAAGGTTTGGGTTTCAAAAAGAAGTTCCAAAAGGAAAAGAAGTATGTTGACCTGCCTAGTAGTATTGTTTGTTATTTCTGTGGCAATACTGGACACAAACAGGTTAAGTGTCCTAAGAAAGAAAAGAGTACACAGAAAAATGAAAAACATGTAGAACAGATTTGGATCAAGAAGAATGAACCTGCTACTGTTACACATAACCCAAGGAAACCTGGGTTCCTGACACTAACGTTTGATATCTCATGCAGGTTTCATTGAGGGGGAACAACACTTGGTACCTCGACAATGGTTGTTCTAAGCACATGACTGGAGACAAATCTAGATTTCTCTCACTAGATGCCTACTATGGGGGAACTGTGACCTTTTGTAGGGAATATTTCAAGCGTTAATCCCTAGCTTGAACCCCACTGTGATCATACACTAAAGTACGGTGGCGTCCAAAGGGAAATAAGATAGAGCAAAAGAGTTCCCAACAAGTTTTTTTTAGGAACTTGTAAACCGTTCACGAGGTGAAGGTTATACCCCTTAACGATCCATGAGATCGTCAACTCCAATAGGTCTTGAACCATGACTGGTAGTTCGGGGATGAAGGTACAAATTCAACCTAAAAGAGATTGAACCTACCCTAATAATAGGCCTCTACTTTATTCTGATCGTATTCATGTGCGCTTTCTGACTAACATGCAATCAATAGGATTACCCTAAACCTGTTTATCTATGCTGGTTGAATATTAATGCACAAATAAAACTATTATTGGCGATCACTTGAATTATAATCATATTAACCCTAAACAAGATTATTAATTATCTTATTAAGCGTGATTACAAGTACCAATTCCCTTTAAACATGCATAAAAGGTGTGATCAAGCAATAACAATAAAAATCAAGCAACACAATAATAATCATAATAAAAATTATAAAAATAATCATAATATTCATCATAAACATGTTAAAGCATAATAGCAAGATCCTAGGCATGATACTAACAAGATTAATAACAAACCCTTGCATGTTACTAAGCAATAAAAATCAAAGCTTTAACCCTAACATGATACTAATAATCATAAATATTAGGAAGAACATAAAAGACATCATACTATTAATCATACTTGATATTAAAGTTACCCTAACATGATACTAGGAATCAAAATAACAATCTAAGCATGATTTCTACATCATAATATCAATAAAAACCTTTAAAGCACTTACTTGGATGCCTCGTACCTTTTTCTTATAACAAAATACACGCGTTAGAGCTTCAAGGAAAATAATAAACAATTAATTAAATAATTGAAAGAGAGATTTGGGACCAAACCCTCAGAAATTAAACCTTTCACGTCTAGGACGAAGGCAACTTCGAATTTGGCTAGGTGTTTCTAGGTCTTGCGAATGAGGAATTTTGTATTTGAGAAAAGGCTAGTTTAGAAAAGAGAGAGAGAGAGAGAGAGAGAGAGAGAGTAATCAAGAAAATCTTGATAAGAGTTGGTGAATGAAAACAGAGTTTTTAGGAGACTATTTATAGAGAAAATCAGCCAAAAAGATAAAAAAATCAAAACAAAGTTCTGACGCGTAAAACGAGATTAGTGCCAGACGCTGACATTAGCGCCAAGCGCTAACGCTAGCGCAAGGCGACAAGCTTAGCGCCAGGCGCTAATGCTGGCGTTTGGCGCTGACTAAAATATTGACGCGTTTTCTAAAATCAGATAGAAATTGCCGTACAGGAGGATAAAATCGTATTTTCCTCAAAAA